CTGGTCTCTAGTTACTACCTACTACTTACCATTCCGAGTACTTGCTACTTGCTACTTACTACGTACTGCTTACTGCTTGCTACTACTACTACTACTACTACTACTACTACTACTACTACTCCTGCTGCTACTGCTGCTGCTACTACTACGATTATTATTACTACCACTACCACTACTACTACCACCAACTACTACCGCCATTCGTAGCAGAAGAACTACAGGCATTGCTCGCAAGCTCCATGCCAGTTGACGCCAAGTGAGGACTCCCGAGCTCCTCCGCGTGACCCTCCGGCATTTCTCGCATGGGACTCCGACCTCCCAAGATCTCCAGCGCTTCGGCAAGGCCGCTTCTGGGGGTTTGGGGGTTTAGGGTTGAGGGTTTGGGGTTTAGGGGTTCAGTGGCTTCAGAGTTCAGGGTCGGAGGCCTCCCCAGAGGAAGACCGACATTGCTTCCATGCACTGCAGGAAGCGGAGGCAGCATCTCAAAGACGTTGTAGGACTAACAGCAATCGTGGGCGGTGGGCGTAAATCGCAATATCTGTAGATTTGTAGTCATGTTTGTGTGATGTTCATAGCCTTAGTCATGGTTGGTGCTCGAAACAATGGTGGCGCAGTACTATTACTCAAAGGAATGACTGCCACATTAGCGAGGTTGGTACTGGCATGTGTACGTAGCAAGAACAGCCCTTCGCAGCGGTAGCCAAAGTACTGTTGGTTATACGGGCTGCCTGGTGCTACCCGACTACGAGCAAGTCGAACACTAGCCTGTTGTTCACATTTCTCGCCTGCTGTCCGAGTAGGCCACTTGGGGCTTGAGCGCGGGTGAAGAGCGTTGGAGGGCTCTGGCCGAGCAACTGCCCGACACGGAAGCACCTGGGCTAGCATTATTGTAAGATATTGTAATTAAGCGTTTGTTGTTGAGAAGAAGCCTAGAGTGCCTATCGGCTACAAGGTTCAATCTGGTGTTAGCTTTGAGGAGTGTGCAGAGCTTTCTTGCGTCCGCGTCCTTGATATCCCTGAAAGATCCCGGCCGTATCCGCTCCAGACTGTGTGGGATGTTTAGGGTTTCGGGTCAGGGTGTAGGGGATTCCCAGAAAACATGCTTGCCATGACCAAGGTCAGACAAGGCTGGTCGAAAGGGGGCATCACGCCGTGGACCATTCGGTTCAAAGGCAAAACACAGCCGAACCAGGACGAGCATGCGGCAGAACAAGCGGTTCAACTTCGGGTAACTAGGTCACTTTTGCCACTTTCAAACTTTCAAGAAGCCATAAGATTGACTCACGATTTGGCCGGATCAGCAAGTCATGCTCGTTTGTACTGCGACCATGGCCAACATCCTGTGTCCGGAAGAGCTTGCTTCTCGGCAGGACCTTTTCGAATACGAGGACTTTACTTTCGCTTTCCTGCAGCGCGTCAATCTCCGGTGCTTCTTCTCCGTCGGCAGCCTCGCAGAATCCATGTTACTAGACATGTTTCAAGTCTCACCTGCACTGGTTGGTTGTTCTGTTCTGTTGTTGCCATCCTCGTGTGTTCGTGCTCGCTGTGGGTCGCTCATCTTCATTCTTAGTCTAGAAATACAGCCTTTTTTATAAGTTCTTCAGTCTTTTTGGTTGGGGTTCAACAGCACCACAGGTTTCACTATGGCCAGCAACCTGACAAGGATGCCGTGTCTCTGCAGCTTTGCCACGATCTCGCCCACTGGGCTTGTCACAGCAATCTGAAGAACAGGCAAGACATCAGTGAGCCCAAGCTGGGAGAATTTGGAAATGGTGCTGTTCGAGTGCAGCTTGGTGGGCCAGTGTTGCACGTCCTTGCTGACAAGACCTTCTGGAAGGCAGCGGGTTTGGAGTACCGCGAGCGCAAACGCTTGGGCGTTGTGGGGCTGACGCCGGAGGATGTACTGCCTACCAGAGGTTCGCAAGCAGCCCAGCATTGCCACAGAAGCTATGCCGGCAGCTTTGCTCGTGAGTTGTGCCATGATCACGAGAAAGGCGTCTGCCAGTTGGGAGAGGCTTGCCGAAAGATCCATCGCAAGCTTCCGCATGCGGCATCCAGATCACAGCAGAGCTGCTCGGCGCAAGGTCTTACGGATCAGAATTGTCCAGTTGAAGACGAGGACTTGCGCAGCGTCTTTTGGGAGGGTATGATGGAAGGGAAGCTTCGATTGTCATTGCAAGTTCTGAAGCACAAGCTGCTTCAGAAGAAGAGATGCAGTGAAAAGGCGGTCCTGCATCTCCTAGCTTCCGAACTGGAGAAGGGACATCTGGTGGTGATTGTAGCGGCTGCACGTGGTGACCTGGCTACGGAGTGGAACTTGAAGGATTGGAGGAAACCTGAGGAGTCGGTCAGAAGCATGAAAGAATCTCGGACCCAACAGTCTGTGCAGTTGCTTTTCTCGCCTTCTCTGAGGGAGCCACCGAAATCGCTTCTGGTGTGTTTGCTGGAATACTTCCGGCTGGAGCAATTGAGCCCTACGGTGACCCACTTGAGGAATGCGTGTGCGTCTGTCTTCGCACTGGAGGTTCCGCCGGATGGCTGGCGCAGGCTCGCAAAGGAAGGGGGCTTCCGCTGCAGCAAACGCAAGACCATCGACGGACAGACACTTTGGTGGATCTCCTCTCCTGGAAAGCGTGGGAGGGTCAAGTGGCAAGCGAGCAGCTGCACGAAAGAGCGGCAGGCGGCTCTGCTCCTTTGGGTGGTCAGCTTCGACTCCTGGCCGTCGATGGGAGTTCTGCTGGAGTCTGCGCGTTTGTTCGGGCCGGACTTTGCTCGGCTCCCGGTTCTTTACACCTTGCTCCGGGCGGTAGCCGGCCGGCAACCCATGGAAGACGACGACGAAGGCTTCGAAGATTCAGAAACCTTGGCCAGCGACGAGGGGGAGGAGCACGAGGAGGAGGGAGAGGACGAGGAAGAAGAGGAAGGAGACGAAGGGCCCAAAGAAGCGGATGAGGAGTCGCACTGTGGTTCGGACATGTCTGGATCGAGCGAAGGTCTGGGGGAACGACATGGCAAGATGTTTCCCCCTTGCATGAAAGAGGTTGTTAGGTGGCCACCACGGAGGACTCCTCAAGAACTGGTTCGTGATACCTTTGCCAACTGGCGCCGGTTGGGCGAGAAAATCAACAGGCGTGGACTGAAAGGACGACGAGTAATCAAGCTGAAGGGCAGTGACAGGCACATGCGGAAGATCATCAACAAGCTCGAGTACGATCTTCCACAGGTGGAGACAGGGCAGGATGCGATTGATGTTGTTGCGGCCGAGGATGCTGAGGCTTTGCTCCATGCAGCCGGAATGAGCGAGTCTGTTATTCAGGGCTGGGTCCGAGGGGAGCCCTTCCCACGTGACGTTTTGGTGGCGATGGTTGTGGCTGAATACCGCAGGCTTGTGCAGCCTGACAAGATGCGCCCGGAATCCGATGGCCCAACTGCGCAGGAGATGTTGGCCGCCCTCCTGCATGCCAAAGGTTTATCCCACGGACAGGGGAGATCACATCGGATTCGGCAGCAAATTCTGGGTCCGCTTCGCAAGCACCCGGAGCTCGCAGGACGAATTCACAACACCTCGCGTGGGGGGAGCATTGGCATGTTTCTAGACACTCCCGGTTCAGACCATGACATCTTCTTGCACGTGAAGGATGGGGGAAGTGACATGGTGGAGACAGTTCACAGGGCGCTCAAGGACCTGCAGCAGCAAGCAAGCGAGGACTCACGACTCGCACGGGCTACCGTGGTGCGGAAAGACTTTGCCGTGGGCCTCATTGACTACTACCACCGGGACTACGACCTGGTCCCCGTCACCAACAGGCCCGACCTCGAGGGCGACTACCAGTGGGATCCATGCCGGCAGGCACGGCCCGCAGTACTGCGTGATAGTTGTGGTGGAGGTCGCGGTCGTCGTCGTCGTCGTCGTCGTCGTCGTCGTCGTCGTACTAGTCCAGCAGCAGCAGCAGTCGCTATCGCAGTATTATGGCAGTAGCTGTAGCTGCAGTCGTCGTAGTAACCTAATCTAGTAGCTACGCAGGTAGGTGTGGTAAAGCTGGGAACAAGAATGATGACACGGCTGATGAAAACTCCACAGCAACACCAGCAGCTAATTTCACAGCACTTACCGCGTTCGCCATCGGCATGGCTACCGTGGCCACCTTCGTCAGCACGACTATGATGGCCGCCTTGGCCATCATCACCACCACCATCATCACCACCATCACCTCATCCTCCACACCATCATCTGCTTTCAGTCCTAAACGCCTCCGTGATACCTGCAGAATTTCTGAGAGCTTGCATGGTTGGAGAAGCTAGCGGCTAGCGCTGAATTACTCAAGCCTGGGCCTCAAGCCCAGACCCCCCCCAAACCCTAAACCCTAAACCCAAAAGTCCCAAAGGCTCAACCCTAAGCCCTACACCCTTCAACCTTAAACCTCACCCTCCCCCCTCTTCCAGGTGTGGCAGCCCGTGTTGCACCAACGCCTGGCCCCGAAGCTACAGGAACTCTCGGAGTCGAACAAGGATGCCTTCTTCGTGCTGAGGGCGCTGAAGTTCTGGAGTCTCGTTCTGGGATGTCTGAAGGTTAATATGGAGGCCATTGGAGGCCTGAATAACTACCCAAAGTTATTCCTGACAATGCCAGACTACAACATACCGCAAAACCTTATCCCAATCATTGAGGGTTTTTGTCCTTATGCTCAGGAATGAAGCTCTGCCACCCGTTCGAGGACGACTTCTGTGAGTTGGGGAAGGGGTTGGGTACCTGTCCACTCATGGGGGTTCGGATCAGGCATATCCCCCCTTATGTGTGTGTGTGTGTGTGTGCGCGCAGGGGTGTGTGTGTGTGTGTCTACGTGTGCACATGCGCACGAAGCTGACGGAGGAAGTGAGACCTGTGGCAAGAAGAAGGCTCCCCTGATCTCCGTGCACATTCCGCTTCTGGTGCTGGCCGCCGAAGACAGAGGACCCTGCACCAGAAGTCGATGCTTCATACCTCGTGTAAAGTGTGTTAAACAAGTCTCGAGGTCCGGTAAATCAATTTGCATAGAGCCCTGAAGCCTAAACTTCTTGACCCTAAGCAGCCTTACCCCTCCTTCAGTTCTGCACGATGCACCTTGAACCAAAGCACATCTTTCTCTGCGTGTGTACACATGTCAGGACGACTCGACTCGACTGGAACACCACAGGCGCATGTTCTGGCCACGTTGCACTTCGTGAAAGAGAATTGGCGCTGCCCTTCGTCCGAGGATGCTACTTTGCGTGAAGTGGATGCGGACCCCCACCTGCGCCGAATCACGAACAAGTACACTCTGGGGCTGATGAACCAATGCTTTCCCGAGTTGCTGCATGAATCTATAGCCCTAGTAGAGGGTGCTGCAAGGGAATGTGGGTCGGATAGGGAGGCGGCTGATCGAGTGGTCACGCTGATGCGGAGCTTCTTCCACTGTCCCAGAGGCTTGTTTCGACCGCAGTCGTAGGAGTTTTCGCAACAGCATGCTTAAGGACAAAAAAGCATCATTCAGCCAGCTTCACGAGAGATGTCTTTAGATCTTTTCAGAGTGTGCTTGGGGTAAACTAGAGACCTTGTGGCCGTTCAGCGTCTCTTGCAAGATTGCAAGCCTGTTCGTGCCAGACATGTGCGAGGAAGGTTGAACGGTGACTCCTTGCACAGGCATGTCTACCTGTCCGGGCGATCCGATGATTGCCTTCGATGGCTGTTCTGAATGTGAGATCTTTGAAACAGAGCTCGGTGTTCTTAGGTTGAGAGCTCTTCTAAGCCGAAGACTGGGACATTGCGTTTCATGGTTCCAAAGGTCAAGCACTGCGGATCCTCGTCTGATGTTGGATGAGGAAGGATGCAAGCTCCCCAACATGAAACCCAAGTCCTCCGGACGCTTTGGGAGTTTTTGAAGATGCGAGATCCTCGTAATCATGTAGTAAGACTCTGATTTGTAAAGACCCTTGAAAGCCATTCTTTGCTTGGCAGGACGCGTCCTCGGTTGCCGTATCCTCGAAAGCAGCTGCCTTCTATTGGCACTCTGTCCTGGTTTCGGGTTTGGGGTCGTTTCAGTTGCCGAGTTTGAGGGATTATAATAGTGACTTTAGGATCTAGGTTTGAAGGTTTCAGCTTTACGGCGTCGGATGTCCTCGCCGATCACCACCCCGCAATTGCACCGTAGGGAGTTTCCGGACTTTGCAGTTCCCTCACGTTAATCTGCCTAGGCATCCATACCCTGAGCTCTAGATTTGGTGTAGTTGGTCCGTATGCCAGAGACTCCGAACGCTCTTGCTCTTGGAGTAGGAGCGTTCCCGAAACTAGAAAAGGATAAAGATGTGACAGGGAACCCCGGGCAGATAACCTCCTAAGCCCGAAACCCGAAACCCCAAACCCCAAACCTTAATTAAGCCCTAAGCCCTAAACCCTAAACCCCAAGCTCCTAAAAAAAGCCCTAGGCCCGAAGCCCTAAACCCTAAGCCCTAAACCTCAACACCTTTTGAGAAAGGCAGATCGGAGTCGGTTGGGTTTGCGGGGAGGCCGGGCCGTGCCAAGGCATCCGCTGAGCGGCTCCCAAACGCGCCACCAGCGAAGCACCGAAGGCGAGTCCGAGCCCAAAAAGCTGTTCGAGTCTTAGGCAGGGCCGTGCTGTAAGGCCTAGACTCGGGTTCTGGGATACGTCGCTGTAGAGTATAGTCATGTCGGAGACCAGGAGTAAGGTGATGTTCTCAGGACCGAGGTGCTTCGACGAAGGGATCCGGGAGGATTCAGGATGATCCTACTTTGTGGCCCTGCTGATCATGACACCCATCGCGAAGATGCCAATTTACAGCCGTAACTATGACCAATGCGAACAGCGGGAATGGCCATCGCCACTTTGCATCGCAAGATTTCGCCCTAGCTTCCTAGAGGCCCCTTGTTTGGTCAACTCTCGCGGAGGCGGTTGTGCCGATCCTTTTGCCTGGAAAGCAGCGGACGGGCCGCCTCTCGTCAGCGAAAATGAACAGGTAGGTACCTTTACATGGCCTAGAAGGGTTTGGGGTTGGACATAAATAAACCCTAGAGTCAAGAACTGCAGCGTAGGCGGTCATGTTTCCGGAGTTGAACACTGCTGGCAATGACAAAGCGGGCATCTCAACCCAAAGCCGCTCTACCCAAACCCTCCCAACCCTACTGTGCATCCGAAACCTCGAACCCCAAACCCTCCGAGCCCGACTACAATCTGCAAATATGTGCAATCTACCCCAATTCCCAACCCTTCAGGGCGCGTTTGCTCTGCACCGGCGGCCACCTCCCGCTCTTCCGCGGTCACCTGGCCCCCGGCAGTGCTCTCGCACCTGTCGGGGCAGCCTTGGCAGGCATCTGTTGAGTTTTTCGATGGTTTACGATTTGATGGGCTGCTAGTACGGTTCAGGGTAGCAGTTTCGCGGCTTTCGCATTGTGGGAGTCTAGATTTCAGATCGCAGCCGAGCTGCGTGCGTGGGGTCTACGATTCTGAAGGTTGAGGCCCTTCTTCCTTGTAACCTTGGACTACATGGCGGGCCAAGGCTTGGAGAGCTTCGACTGTTTTTTTGGGGGAGAGGGCTCTCGCTTTCGGGTTGTCGGGTTTGGACGCAGAGTTCAGGGCTTCTAGTCTTCTTCCCATGTTCGGTATCATCTTTGATGGACTTCCCTCGAAACTGCCCCTCCATCCCAAACCCTGAAGCCCCGAATTTCCCAACTAAATCCTAAACCCTATAAACCCTAGACCCTAAGCCCAAAAATCGTAGGACGCCCGCCGCCTTGGGCGAGCTCCGGGGACCGATGGGCACCGGAGGCAGGGGTGAAAGGGTTGGGGGTTTAGGGGTCTTATTCATTTAGACAGACACACAGATATATCTATATATATATATATGTATGTATGTATGTATGTATGTATGTATGTATGTATGTATGTATGTATGTATGTGTATATATATATAGATCTATGTCTATGTCTATGTCTATGTCTATGTCTACGTCTATGTCTATGTACATGTATGTGTATATGTGTGTGTATGTGTGTGTGTATGTGTGTATGTATGTATGTATGTATGTATGTATGTATGTATGTATGTATGTATGTATATCTACACACATACATATAACATGTAAATACGTACACATACATACTTGTATTTGCGTATTTACATGAACACACATCGTATCTGCATATTTGTATCTACATTGATAATGAGCTGTTTGTGTATATCTATGTGCTAACATCTCGGCTTGTGGCCCTGAGCCCAGGCCTCCAGTTCCTCAGCTCCCCCCCGGGCTCGGGTTTAGGGTTTAGGGTTTTGGTTTCGTGCTTACCGGTTCAGGGTTTGGGGTGCAGGGGCCTTACATAAACCCGAACCCTGAACCTAGTTTAGGGTGTAGGGTTTAGGGTTTAAGGGCTGGGCCAGGCTCTGGAGGTCAACGAGTCCTTGAACGTCCTGGTCTTCTGCGACGCTGGTCTGTTCTTGTTTAGGAGGGGTATCAGGGTTTAGGGTCGAGGGTTTGGGATTTTCCTGAACCCCGAAACCCGACAGCCCAAAATCGACCCCTAAGCAACAAGACCCTGGACCCGAAACGCCTAAAGCCTCAAACCCCTAAACCCTCTAAAACCCTACGCCTTGCGCCATCTTGCGCCCCGAAAGGACAAGCAGCCTTCTGGAGAGCATCGGATCGGCTGGGCCCTAGCCCAGGGATCGAACAGAACGGCAGGGTCCTGGTCGCGCTACGCCGAAGGTGTCTGGGTTTTACAACGTTTTTGACTTTTAAAGTGCTAAGTTGAATGTCTCTTGGTTGGGTTCAAGGGATTTCTGCACGTGGTTTTGGAGATGTCTGGTTTCCGCGTGTCTTGGCCTTGGGTCTTGGGGTTTCGAGGTACCTTGCTCCGAATGCGAATCCTCTGCAGCCCGAAAGCCAAAACGCCAGAAACGAAAGCCTTGAGGACCTTTGGATTTGGGTGGCAGCAAGGGCGGTGACATTGATCCACATCTCTTCCGCGATGCCGACGGCACGACATATTTGCTTTGGAAGACGGACTGAGACGGCCAAAGGTAGGCGTGACATTCTTCGGATATTGCCACGTTAATTTTCTGTTTCTGATAGCTACAACCATCGTCACAATGATCATGAGCATGCTACTACTGCTGCTGCTGCTGCTGCTGCTGCTAATAGTACTATTATTACCACCACCAGTCCTACGCGACGACTACGGCTGACCATAGCACTACTTATCCTACGTGTTTGCACCATTACACCGCTATGCTGCAAAACTGCTGTACTGCTATAGTGCTGGTGGTGGTGGTGCTGCTGCTGCTCCTGCTGCCTCCTCCGGTTCCACGGCTGCTCCGACGGGGTTCGATTGCGAGGACGACAACCGCGTCCAAGCAAACGTTACGCGGATTTGGATGCAACGGCACCTTGGATCTTACAAGGGGAGGATGCTTGAAGGCTTTGGGCGTTTGGGATTAGGGTTTAGAGTGCATTCAGCAGATTTTGCATGAGAGAGTGAGCACGTCGGTGTCCTTGGTGAGCATCGGCGCACCATGCCTCAGGGTTAAGAAACAGTCCTCAAGCTCTAGCAAGATATGGTTGAACAGCAATAGACGCATCTACACCAACACCGACACCAACACCCTAATCAATGCCAGCACCACCACCAACACGAACCACAGCCACAACCGCAACCGCTGCCGCAACAGCAGCAGCAGCAGCAGCAGCAGGAGGAGCAGGCTTCCATAATCTTGAAGCATTCCGAAGCCCCTCCGCCCCCGAATCCCCAAAGCCGCATCGTAACCCAAAGCTCGAACGGAGTTTGCACCCAAGGCCTTCGCTCCAAAACCCTGAAACCGTAAATCCCTGAGCCCGAACTCCGGGCATGAACTTCGGCCCCTGCCCGCGACAGGGAAGGCCACTGAGCCGCAAAAGCGCTGCAAGACTTCGCAAGCCCCTCATCCCTAGACCCGAAGCCCCTAAATTTGGCCTTAAATATCCCTTAAAGCCCTCAGAGCACACCCTAAGCCACCTAAACCCACTAAGAGCCGAGGTGCTCAGTGACCGATAGCGGCATTTCCCTGGTGGGCCGGCGCGCTGTCATCCTAGACTCGACTGGGCTGTGGATTCTTGGTCTGAGCTTCCGGCTTTGGTCTTTGAGGGCCCTGGGGGGTGTTGAGGAACGCGTAATATGCAAGGCATTAGACTTTGGGGATGTAAGTAGATGTTAAGGGATTCGGGTTTGGTCTTCAAGGCTCGGTGGACGACCTGGTTTGTCTAGTTCCTGCTGGCGAATAGTGTTGATTATCATGAATCTTGTGCTATCTTATCATAACCACCTCTCTGTCCAGTTGTGCATACTTCCAAGTAAGTGAGCTGCTGCAGGCAGTTGCATAAAGGTTAACATGATGTGTGATAGCAGGAATCGTCACAACCATACGTCATGTCATGACGATATACAGAAGCAAGCATTCAAGACAGCGTGGCGCCAACAGTGTCAGTATTGAAAATCGTCGCTGTTGCAAAGAGGAACAGCCAGTTAGCTCTAGGAACTTAGGCAACCCAGACACGACACGGGGCACGCTCCACCAAGGTGGGTTGACAGCTGGGTCAAAGGGGGCAGCCTGGTAGAGGGCCCTGAGATGGTACGCCAGGGAGGATGGTACTTTCTCTTCTTTGCGGCCGGGCGTTTTTGCCAGGAGAGCTATGCGGAGGGCGTTGCACGCTCGCGAGACATCTGGGGGCCCTATGAGAAGCTTCCGATCCCGTTGCTTTCCACGGGCATCGTGGGCTGGGATGCGTCTGAAGGAAGTGTGAAGATCATTGGTCCTGGGCATGCCTCCTTCCCTTTGGAGCCAGACGGGAGTGCCAAGCTCATCGTTTGGCATGCCAGTGCTGGGCACAACTGCCATCGACGCGCCTACGTCGCGAGGATTGAGTGGCTAGAGGGGGACGGAGGCTGGCCGATGGTGGACTTGCCCGATCCAGTTCACGTGCACGACAGTCTTTGGTTGCAAATGTCGCCTTTGCCTCTCCGAGTGGATGGGGCAGTCTCGCTTGGAATTCTGGGTCTTCTTCTTGCGACCGCGGGCCTCCCCGCTGCTGTCGTCGCTTTGAAAAGTGCGAGTAGAGAGACGGTTCGTGATCTGGAGGATGTCCCCCAAGGGAGGCGCTTTGAAGATGAAGCTCATATAGATCCAAGGTTGCTCCTCCTCGGGCTGTTGCTGTTCCGGTCTAGAGGGGCACGTAAAAGCAGGCGAACACCGGCCCGAAGGATCCCTTCCTCTGCATTGAGTGACCTTCTGTGTGTAATATATATATATATATATAGAGTCTACATGCAGAAGTTCGACAGTACAACCGAACAAATAGACGTAAGTACACATATCATTATGTGTATGCATATGTGTATAAAGCACACAAGCACATGACCCCTTCCTTGTAAATGTGGGTTAAATCACGGGATGAAATTAAGCGCCCCTAGGGTCTAGGTGATCCTGGATGCGAGTGGAACTGATGGTTGCAGTAGGGCAGTAAGGCATGACTAAAGTAGGCTTAAGGGTTCAGGGTAGGTAGCTGCACAATACTGCACGATGCTACTGTAGCATGTGTTTGCTTGAACTACAGCTGCATTTTTGTAGTCTCGGAGCGGATGCGAACTCATAATTGCAAGCCTGCTCGGGCATGATTACCAATCGGAGCAGTCGTCACAGGAGGGGCGATACGGCACAAACATGGCAGTAGCCACAGGCGCAAGAAGAATGGTCTCAGTTCATTCCAGGTCATCGAGCAAGCGTTGACAGATGCTTCGGTGGTGGACCTGGAGTGTCGGTGAGACGGTTGCATGTCTTTCGACTGTACGACTGATTTCCGAGCTGCTCCCACTTCCAGCATACGCTGCAATCGTTGTACCTATCGCCGTTCTTACCCGCATTCTTCTTTCACATCTTGCACCACAATCGTTGCCGATTCTGATAACTCTAAGGGCTAGCTACCACACTGTTGTTGGTATTGCGAGTATTGTGATAACAGTGATGAGTGGTTTGAGAGTGAGTGTTGTCTCGCGCATGATCCTTTTGCAATTGCCATCAGCATATTCCAGAATTCGGGTTACCGCCCTCAGAGTGATCCGTCTCAAGAGTGTCCCTAAACCCTAAACCCTAAACCCTAAACCCAAAACCCTAGTGTGTAATGAGGGTCCTAGGCCCTGGACCCGAACCCGAAGGGCGAGAGTCTAATCTCCCAGAGCCGGATCTTTCCTGAGAGCCCTCAACCGCTAAAAAACCCTATTAGACCCTACACCCTTGACCCCAAGCCCTTCTGTTTTTTGGTCTGAAGGCCGCTGCCGGGCTTCAGATGTACCCGTCCCCGCAGAAGAAGTATCTGGCCCCATGGTTTCAAGCGGGTTTTGCGGGTTTAGGGGTTTGCCAGCTGGCAGTTTCGGATGGCTTTGAACATCACCCTGTGGACTTGTGATAACTTTTGTGGCCGGCGCTTTGGCTACAACCCAGGCTCAGTGTTTAGGATTGAAGCTGTGATTGGGGGCGTAAGTTGCGTTCCAAAAATGCGTCGACATGCCCAAGAGCACCCAGAGCGAAACAGTTTGGGGTATCGTATGACAGCAACTGCATCTCGTCTGTGATGTTCATGCTTGGGTAAAAAGAGTCAGGATAGCTGGAGACCCGGAGGTGCGGCAGTCTGTTCACCCTAAACCCCGAGCCAGACCTGAGAGGCTTGAGCCCTTCAGTCCTAATATGGTAAAGCTTATGGGTACCCATTGAAGCCTAAAGCATTACCAATACTATTCCCTAGGACTCCTTGTTATACTGATACCACAAACGAGCCCAGAACCCCATTCTCACGATTAAGGCCCCTACATTTTCCCTAGGTTGCCGGGAAAGTTGGGGTCCCACTAAGTACAGCTTAGGACAGGTCTGGCGCATGGCTGGGTGTACCAGAATCCTCGGTTTAGGGTTTAGGGTTTATGCTTTGGGGAGGGCCCGGGAAAAGTATATGAGTGCTGAGTGCTGAGGCCTGGCAGATAAATTCCAAAGTAGCCCTTGTTTCAAGTTCTTAATTTGAATAATGCGAATACTACTGATGCTGATACTCATACTAATGCTGATGCTGACATTGATATTGATACTAGTACTGATACTGATACTAATGCTAACAGTAATACCCTAAACTTAAACCCTAAACCCTAAGCCTCGAGCTCCAAAGGCTGAGGATCGAAGCTGATGCGCCTGAAGCCCCGAAGCTGCGACGACACGCCCCTTACGCCCACACAAGCAAACCTCCACCCCAAAATCGGTTTAGGGTTTGGGGTTTAGGGGAAGATCATGTCTGGATTTTCAACCCTTCGTCACAAACACCAAATCCTCAACAGAGCGTCCGGAAAGCCCCGAAACCCCCAAAGCCCTCTTAACCGAACCCCCCAAACTCCCAAACCCAGCGCCCTTGCGCGGATCCTCTCAGGCTCGATGGAGGGCAGCCGAGAGCCCGGATTTCCATGACTTGCAATGTACGGCTTGGGAGTTTAGGGGCCTGGAGTTAGGGTTTAAGGCTCAGGACTAAGGGCTCAGGGCTTGAAGTTTGGGGCGTAGGGCTTGTGGTTTAGGCCTCACTTTGTCAGGTTTAGGGTAGGGATTGCGGGATCGTACCCATGCAGGATGGCGAGGTTTCTTGTCGTCGTTGTGGTGGCAGCGACAGCCGCGGTAGTAGTCGCACTTGTAGTAGTCGTAGTAGTGGTAATGGTAGTTTCAGTCGTGGTGGAACACGCCTCCGCAAGACCCTGAACCTTAAACCTTAATTCCTAGGTTCAGGCCGCAAACTCTGTAAGAACCTGTCACGGAACCCTTTTTGGTTATGCCGAAACGACCCAGCCTCCGACCTGCTCCGAGGACAAGGAGGCAGTGAAGACCGAGTTTCCAGAGAACACCCGTGGGTGCGGTACCTGGGGTTTAGGGTCTTGGGTTTACGGTTGAGGGGTTTAGGCGGCTTAGGGCTTAAGGTCTCTGAACAGCGCCAGACCGCAAAAAGCTCCGAGGCACTTGGACCCATGCCGAACCTGACAATAGCACCCCCAACTCAAGCCCTACAATATAACTTGTGTCCGAAACACGAGGCTCCAACTTCAGCAAGAGCAGCATTTCTAGCCGCGTAACAAAGAGTGGAGCGTCTGACATACTCCGCGTATGTCGGCACAGCCATTCTCCGGGATGTGTAGATTAACATAGGCGCGCATGCTCCTTGACACCCCGTAGGGCCCAGGCCAGGTTATTTGAAATCCAGCGCAGGCTGCTTGCAGCCCAGGAGGTTTCAGATCTTCGTCCTGCTTCTGGTGAGCTAAGCGTCTTGGGACTTGAAAGTCAGATTTGGCAGGCTGCATCAGGCTGCCATCTATGTAGATGGCTAAATAAAAGCTTTCCACCGGAGACAACACTGCAGCCTGAGCCGTGCAGGCCAGATTTCACAAAAGACGAACAAAGCAGTACAGCGAGAGACTTTGAACAAAGAAGGACTGGCAGAGCATCCAGGGCAACCGCAGAAGCTGCACCCCAAACTCCGACCGCCCTTCAACAGATGCCGGAAGAAGACCGCAAGCAACCCGGATCAAAGTAGCACAGACAGCCGCCCAAAACCAAGGGTTCGGATGCTGGTCCTTGGCTCCAGCATCGGTACCTACGAGTTGAGGAGCTCTGCGGGTACTTCCGGTTGAGAACCTGGTCATGAATCGTGGATAATCGTGGATTGGTGTTGAGTGTTGAAGCCCACTATGCCACTATGGCATAGATGACTGGATACCTGGCCGAGGCTCGTTCGTCTCCGTGCAGTCAGACAGTTCAGATTGTTTCGGGGGTTGTAGCTTGCCTTCCCCAAAGTCTGCTGCCCTTGGGTAAACAAAGCTTAGGCTGATGTTGTCTCGGGGTTTCTGCCCGGCCCGAACCATAACAAAGACAGACATTGGCGAGAATCCAGCACGAACCTTCATACCAGTAGCGGCAACAGCAAAGATGTTAGCCCAAGTCCTGGTCACACATAGATATGTTTCATCAGTAAAAAGTACGCGCATTGATACATGACGAAGAACGAGGTTGACGAAGCCACAGGCACTAACGCATCCAAGACTATCCAAAAACAGCTCACGCTTCGTCAGTCCCAGGACGCTGCCCCTGTTCCTTCGCATTCCCATTCCGCCCTACGCTGTTCACGAGGCCCGCGCACTGCAAAAAATCCTGCATGCTTACCAGCTGAATTGGTGCCTCTGGTAAGTAAAGGATGAACACTCCAGCGAGGGAACTCAGCATCCAGGCATATGTCCTTCCAGCTCCCAAGGCAATCGCAGCTGTGCTCAAGAGAGACCTTTCGGTCAAAAGCATCGACCTGTCTGGTAATTCCTTGACCGATGAGGCTGCAGAGGCTTTGGCAGCTGCATTACAAGTTGCCAAAGCCTCCGCACCCAAGGCAATAGCAGGTGCGCCCAAGACTAATCACTCGACCAAGCACATGGAATTGTCTCACAACTTGATCGGTTTGAAGGGTGGGGGAGGCTTTGGCAGCTGCGCTACAAGTCAACAAGTCCGTCACAAGCATGAACATGTGCCGTCACAAGCATTGATGTGAGGCAAGCTGACATGGCTGCATGGGGCTGCAAGGAGATACATGGCAGTGGGCAGTTCTCGAATCGGATGGCTGTAGCAGCGGCGCATCAGACCAATGAATTTGTCAGAGGCGTTGATTTGCGCTAATTATATCGAGATCCATGACGAGGGTGTCAAGGCACTTGCAGAAGCGCTCAAGGTCTGTAGTTTTTTCATCAACTTGGACAGAGTCAAGATGGGCCTAGAGGGCGCGAAGGCTGTCGCAGCTGCTCTTCAGAGCAACAAGGTCATCAACAATTATCCTGTCCCACAATCCCATCACTGATCAGGGCACCGCCGCACTTGCAGAAGCACTGAAGGTCAATGAGTCTGTAGCGAGCATCGGTTTTAGTGGCACTAGCTTTGGCCGCTTAGCGGCTGTCAGGGCAAGGCACTTGCTGACGCGCTGAGGGTCAATAAGTCTGTGGTGCACATGGACATGACGAACAACGGAATCGGCCCAGAGCCAAGGCACTGCAGAGGCGCTCAAGATCAGTACGGCAGACTCATGACATCAGATGTCCAAGAAGAGCGGTTCAGAGGGCGCCAAGGCGTTCGCGGTTCTGAAGACCAATCAGTCCGTGACACAGATCAACCTGCCCTCTAACCACATCGGCGGTGAGGGCGCGGAGGCGCTTGCCGAAGCGCTGAGAGACAACACGTCCGTCGTTTTCATGAGCTTGTGTCATAACGTCATCGGCTCAGAAGGCACCAAGGCCCTGAAGGAAGCTGTGGCAGAGCGAAAGAAGGACCATCCGGCTTCGCTCCCTTTGGAGGTGAAGCTGAAAGTCTGAATGTGGCACAGGAGCTCAACTTCTTGGGGTTGTGAAGCGGAAGCAGGTGGCTTGGGTATGTACAAAGCTGAGGTGCCAAGTGATGCGTGCAATTGCTGCAAGGGTGGGCTGTGACATCCATCGGACAGTGGGACAAAAGGGCGGTGTTTTCGATGTTCCGAAGCCCGGTGCTGATTGTCTCATCTTTGAAGCACAAAATCTCTCCTCCTCCTCTTTATGAGCGATCTTCTCGTTTTTGAACAGCAGTGGTTTTGCTTGAAGGAGGGAGGTTGAAGCTATCCCGAGAATTAGGGGGGCGCTTAGCGGGAGGATAAGCACGAGTTCGTTGTGAGATTCGGCTCCGCCTGCGGAAAATGCACACCCCGATCTATGTGCAGCTCTTAAGCCCTAGGCCCGAA